ATGCAGGGGGGAAGGGACTAGGGAGGAGAGGGAGCAAAAAAAAAAAAAAAAAAAAAAAAAAAAGCATACCGTTCAACAGAAATCTTCTCCCCCTCCGGAATCAGTGGACCGCTGTAGACGAAAAACCCATCCTTGCTAGCAGCCGCCTGTTCCTGCCATGCAAGCTCGCTATCATCAACGAAGGGGTCGTCACGGTCATATTCTTCGATTTTTCGCCGGCGTTTCTTCTTCGTTCCTCCAAGGGTTGCTGTAGCCGTGGATGCAGCTGTGCTGGCACCCACACCAACATTAACGTTACTCCCCGCATGTCCATTCGCGCCCGCACCCCTCATACCAGACATGATCACATCGCCATCGCCATCGCCATCGCCATCGCCATCGCCATCGCCATCACCATCACTATCCCTCTCGACATCTATGAGACTCAAGTCCTCCTCCGCGGCACTGTCAGTCCCGCCACTGCCCCCTTTCGCACCCCTTTTCATTCCTCTCCAACGCCGCACTAGCCGCATTTACCCTGGCCATCCGCTCGCGCTGTGCCGCCAGACGCGGATGCAGTGCGTCAAAGCCGTACTGCTCCTCTGCCAGGCGGGTGAAGTTAATTACCTGGTTCGTTTTGCCTTTGAGGGGGATGTGGAGGATGATGTTTGGGGCGAACTTGGCGGAGGAGGGTGAGTTGGAGGGGTTGGTGGGGTCGATGGCGCCGAAGAGGGTGCCGGATAGGAGGCCGGAGCCGGAGCCGGAGGGGAGCGGGGCACGCGGGGTCTCTTTGACGTTGGAGCGGGGGGGTTTGGGGGGGGAGGCTGTGGGGGCTGTGGAGGGGGGCCCCGAGGAGGGCACGGGGGGTTTTTTGGTTGTCGTTGCTGTTAACGTTGGTTTCGAGGAAGCGGGGGGTGGTTGGATAGGGGTTGGGGTTGGGGTTGGGGTTGGGGTTGGTGCGGTGTTGTTCAGGCAGTCGATGTCCATGGCGATGGGCTCTTGTAAGAGGGATGGGAATGGTTCTGGTTCATGCATGGCTTTTGGTTGCTGGATGGGTATTGCCGTGTTGGGAGGAGGGGTGGTGGTGGTGGTGGTGGTCATCATCATCGTGGCTGGGGGGGGGGAATGAACAATGGGATGGTTGTTCTCCGGAGAAGGCTTCGTCTGTGGGTTGTTGGGAACGACTGGCTGGGACGGAGGTGGCGCTGAGCTCGACGGCTGGACGGGAGGGTCGATGATGCTGGAGATGGCGGGAGATGCACTGGCACGGTACACCGGACGGGGAGGGGGCGTCCTCGCGTTGGGGGGGGGTCCGAGCTGGCTGTGGGTGGGGGGGAGAGAGATCTTGGACGAGGCGGATGCATGGGGAGCTGCGACGGAGGAAGTCTCGAAGGCGGAGCGGATGGGGTCGTAGTTCTGGCCGCTGGAGCGCTGGGCAGGAGGGTGTTGCTGCTGCTGCTGCTGCTGCTGCTGCGGCGGCGGCGGAGCAGTGCCCGAGGCGGAGGGCGGAGCGGAGGGCGGAGCGGAAGCCAGGGCGGGCGCTAGCACGGAGGTGGAGGGCGGAGCGGGTTGCAGGTGGAAGGAGTGGAACGGAGGGCGGGAGCTGCCATTTGCGGGGAAGGCGTCATAGGTGCCGTTTTGGGAAAGGGCATGGGGGTGGTGTGGCTGGAGGTGTGGCTGGAGCGGGGACGAGACGGAAGGTGCAGATGAGGCTGGAGCACCCAGGTGGAAGGCGGCTGACGAGGCCGGGAGAGTGGGCGAAAGCGTCGAAGGAACTGGAGTCGAGGGAGCAGAAGCAGAAGAAGCAGCAGCAGCAGCAGCAGCAGCAGCAGCAGCAGCAGCAGCAGAAGAAGAAGAAGAAGAAGAAGAAGAATCGGCATTGGGCGTGACGAGGTC